AGAACAAGGTCCTCCAACACCACTTATTGCTGGCAATCAAACGTGATGAAGGAAATTACAGTGAAAAATCCTCCTGGGTCACCATTAGTGAATGAAGCATTAAGTACAGGCACCTCTTTCATCTGTTACAAACATTGGTAATCAGAATTATGTAGAATTAGAGAATTTGAGAGCTGAAATGTGTCACATTTTCCCTAATTATAAACTCTGCACTTGTAAAGTGTGAGGAGTGTGAAGGACTTGCTAAAATGTGGTTTGAGTATCTTGCCAAACAGTGATAGCCTTGTCCAAGCCACAGATCACTTTCCAACAAGGCCTTTTTAATAGTTCTCTAACTGAATTTCTATTATGAATGGAATTGTGTCCCCCAGAAAGATGTTGGAGTCCTAATCCCTGTACCTGTGAATGTGACCTTGTTTGGAAACAGGATTATCCTTTTGTTAGCCATTAGGTCAAACACGGTCATACGCGAGTACATGGGCCCTAACCGAATCTCTCCTCGGTGTCTATAAAACGGGGAAACAGACATGGAAAGATACATACATGCCATGGGCACATCATTAAACAGAAAAGGAATGCCAGGGATTAGCAGAAAGTAGGAATTTCTCCAGAAACTAGGAGAAAGGCACAGAAGGTATCAATAAGGCTGAGGCACTGATATGGATTTTAGCTTCCAGAACTATGAGAAAATAAGTTTTTGGCATTTAAAGCCTTTAAGGACTAGGAAACTAAGAAAACTCCTTTCCTTGAAATTCTCCATGTCAAATTCTACTCTATTACACTTTTACACTGGTAAATGGTTACACTTGTTGTTGCTGTTACATGACCCCTCCTTGAGTTTCCAAGGCAGTATCACTATGGAAGTAGATTGACCAACCTTCCTTCCGAGGAGTGGCTGGTGGGTTTAACTGCCAGCCTTCTGGTTACAGTCAAGTGCCTTAGGCAGCACGCTACCAGAGCTCCTATGGTTACACTAGCAATTTTCATAATTATACAAGACAAGAAGGAATGGTATTAGACAGTTGGAAAGAAAATCAATTATCTGTGAACTTTGGAAAGAACTGTAGCTCAGTTTCATTTCTCTGATGGTCATAGGATTTGTCTGCTTTCTTTTATGAAATACTCCTAATGATACAGAGAAGAGGCCAAATGTGACTAGAGCCAAGAATTTAAAAGTGTTGTCACCATATTTTTACGCAAATAAAGGATATGTTATATGGTGCCTTGCAAACAGTGCAACCCCCTCACACATTAGTTTCCTATGTGTTCTCTGTGTGTTACATGCATATGTACTTTGTTTCTGTGGGCCTGTTATATGCAAAAATACAGCAATCGTTAACTACCTCATGTGTTAGGTCTCATCTCCATCTTCAATAGGAGGAAACAGAGACAGAGAGATATGTAATTTGCCCAAGATCACACAGCTTGGGAGAGCCAAATTGGAAACCAGATATCACCCGTTACACAACCTCTACACCATCATCCTACCACAAATTTTCCTACGGACTATTGTAAGAACACATCTGTGTTTTCCTACTTCATTCCCCAATACCAATAATTAGGTAACTAATAATTATATTTTTATCCTTTCATCCATTCATCCTTTTTCTTAATCTAAATTATCTCTAACTCTTCCTTGGATTGAATGAAAATATTCTTTTCTCCACTTTCTAGTGCAATAGAATTTACAAAGGCAGAGATGGCCAGATGGAAACCAGTTCTCCTCTTCCCCATAGCAACAGAAACAGTGAACTTTTTAGTTAGGCAAATGGCTACCCCAAATAAAGACTACATTGCATGCCTCCCTTGTAGCTAGATTTGACCACTAGAACATATTCTGGCTGTGGGACACACACACAAGTCCATGTACAGCTTCCAGGAGCCTTCTTTAAAAGACAGCTCACACATGCTCCTTTGTTCCCCTCTTCCTTCATTCCTTCCTTCTCCATCCTTCTGCCTGGAGCAAAATGTAATGGCTCTGGGAACCATCAAGGAGAAGAGGATTAGGGCCATCCTAGGGAGGCAGACTCATGAGTTGGAATGAGCCTGGTTCTCTGAGGACTTTATAGGCAGATCTGCCACGCCAGACCCAAACTGTCTAGCTCCTGAATTTTATATGAAGGGGAAAAAAAATATATTTTTATTTCCTTAAGCAACTGTTATTTTTGGTCTCTTCTACTCACAATCAACTATAATCTTAAGTGGTTCACTCCAACCTCTCAGACTTGAAATACAGGTTAAATTCTAAATGTATATTGTTAGGCTTCCTAGCCACATTGGTAAATCGGGTACAGATAAATTACTGTGCAGTATTTGGGTTTCTCAGAAATTCCTTCCCTCAACACTAACACGTTTTAATAGCCCTACCTTTCTCTGTAAATTATGGGCGATCGTCTTGTTTTCAATGACTGCATGGCTCTCAAGGCGGACCAGCTGCTCGGTGCGAGCTAAAACTACATCCAGACGCATGTCAAAGCCAAGTTCAGCAGCCATCTGGTCCAACTTCATTTTCTCTGAAAGCTGATCCAGAAATTTAAGATACTAAACCAAGAACAAAAATGAAAATGGAACACAAAAATTAAAGTTAATTGGGTAATCTCACAGAATTCTTCTCTTTTTCTCAAGTTTACAGATAGTTCACATTAAACCCACATGGGGCCTGAACCCCAAACCCAATGTTTGGTAATGGGCTATTGAACAAGCCAGCCAGCTCCATGCTCTACTCTTTGTTCAAAGTCCCTTGGCTCGCCTAGTCAATGACCTTGATGCTCAGTCTAGTATTACACACGCCTTTAGCCCTGCCGTATGACAACCTGGCTGTGTGCCCCACAGCATCTTCATCTCTCTTTTGGAAACGTGCTCCTGCGGTGATGTCCTTCTCGGGCTAATCTAATCCAGCTCCTGGAATCCACCTGTCCATGTATCTTTTTACCAGGATCTGTCCCACCTCACTGCAGCCTCGTCTCAAAGGGGGAATATGACAACTTAACCAGTTGCCATTTAACTCTTGTTTGGCCGATTAAAAAAAAAGGAAAGAACAACTGCCGTCACTTCAGTTTCAACTCAAGTTGCCCCACGTGTGTCAAAGTGTAACTGTGCTCCATAGGATTTTCAGTGGCCAGCTTTTCGGAAGTGGATTGACAGGACTTTCTTCCAAGGTGTCTCCGGGTAGACTTAAAACACCACCCACCTTTCCATTAGTAACTGAGCACTTAGCCATTCATGCCATCCAGAGACGCCAAAGCAAAGCTCTCCATTTTATTAAAAAAAAAAAAAGTCAAAACACTTTAGATACTGTCTTTGAAGTTTTTAGTTTATCAAAGTTAAAAGAACAACATTCTAAACTAGAGCAAGGAAGTCAAGGTTCATATTTTAACAAGTTAAAGGTACAAAACTGTTTTAGAGGTTTTCCTCGGCTGATTTCTGTGGCCTCTCTGGTCACACACATACAACAGATGCTAACTGTTTGCTGGAGGAGTGAACCAATCAGTGGTCTTTCTATGATGCACTTTCACAATTCAGGTTCTATCTTACTTATGTTCTTCCCATCACAGTTACTCCTCATCCATCTGGCACGTGCTGGCAACGAAATGTTTAAAATAAGTATAAATTCCTGATGACTGAAGCCTCTCAGCTTAAAGCCCAGAACTAGCTACCTTTTAATTTTTGTTGTTATGTGCCGTCGAGTCAAACCCGACTCATAGCGACCCCTCCTTGGGTTTCCGAGGCAGTATCACTACGGAAGTAGGATTGCCCAACCTACGTGTAAGTGTGTATTTTCCAATTTTCATAAATAGCACAGATAGAAGCACAATTTAATCTCTTCCTTTGAGTCAGTCATCATGAATATTGCTCATTTTGGGGTGCTGTTTTTTCTTCATCATCAAGTTCTCACTTCTTATTGCTTTATAAGCTCTCCGCTTAGAATTTTTAATTTCTGATCTGCAGAATAAATCTGCTTCCATAAAGATTTCTAGACTTGGAAACCCAATGGGAGTTGCTATGAGTCAGAATCAACTTGATGGCCGTGAGTTTGGTTTGATTTGAAATCTGTGTGTAGAAATGTAAAAACTGCTATTATTTGTATTTTAAATAAGTTGGTATCTTTTATATCTTTGTTTATAAAAGATATGAAAGTCTCTTTTTATTTACTTTTTATTTCTACATGTGACCCATCCACTTAACATGCGAGGATCTATAAGACGATTGAGAGGATTGCCACAGGGCCGAGCCAGGCCTGCTCTGGCTGAATTGCTCAAGAGGGGAAGTGCCTGTTTCCGGGATCTTGGCTATGCCCTAGAGGGTTATGCTGCTAGGAATTTTAACTTCCCAGAAATGAAATATAACTGTATATATTATGTACATTTGACACGGTTTGGCATGGATAGGAAATTGTGTATCCTACACTATTCTGTGTAAACCTCAATTATCTACATGCCTGAGTCATGCAAATGGTCTGCACTTGACTACAGTTCAAACCACACAGCAGCCCCATGGAAGAAAAGGCCTGGTGATCTGCTTCCATAAACACTCCAGCCAAGAAAGCCCTATGGAGCAGTTCTACTCTGTAACCCATGCAGTTGTCACCATCAGTCGGAACCGACTCCATGTCAACTACCACAACAGCACTTAAACTCTGTGTAACATTGCTCTCCCATTTTACACACGCACTGCCATGACTAGGCAATGCATTTCACAGATAGTTATCCATGAGAAGTTCACTAGGGACACAAGCAGCTTACATAATTTGCTTTCATAACTGAGAGTCATTTTGGCATAATCCCAACTAAAATGAGTCATTATATTCATATGATGCAGGCATGGTACTTCCTCAATTATTTTCAAGTACAGAACAATGAAAATGAATGAATTTCTAGAGTGCAGATTTTTTAACCCAGGAGTATTTTTCATAGCCAAATTCCACACCTATGTGCTTAATTCCATCTGTCTCCTTTTCTCTTCCTCCCTTCCCCTCTTACAGACTCCTGCAGCCCACCAACACTTCCCTCTCCCATCCTTTCCAGCAAAACCCTTCTTTGGTCACATTTTTCACAGCTACTGACTCATCTCTCACTCCTATTTGGTCACGAAATTTCACGGTGGTGGTGGTTGTTGTTGTTATGTGCCGTAGTCTACATTTAATTCTCTACCCTTTCCCTTTCTGGTCATCCCTCAGCCAACACAAACTAGCTTGTCTTCTCCACCCCTCTACTAAAACTGCTTCTCTGAAGTCACCCATTGTCACATCTTAAGTCTGCATCCCTTCTACTCCTTCCTTCCCATTGGGTCCTTGTCACCATCATTTCTGAGTCTCTCTCACTGCAGTCTCAAGCCCACAGTGACATCAAAATTATCTTTCTAAAATATTGTGGTGCTCTGAATCAGTATTTCGCTTCATGTCCTACAGAATACAGAGCACGCCATCTTCATAATCCAGCCCCAACTTGCTCTCCCAGTCTTTTCTGCCTTAGCCCCACAGAGAGTGCCATGCCTCAATCACACAGGAGTAACCTGTGTTCTATGAATAAACTATGCCCCCGTACGCTTCCATTTCTTTATTCAAACTCTTCTCCCTACAGTATCTGCCCCTTCTCTCTACTAAAACTCTACTTATCTTTGAAAACGATCACGTCCTGTTATGGAATGCATTGTGTCCTCCAGAATGATGTGTTGAAATCCTAACCTCTGTACTTCTGAATGTGACCTTGTTTGTGGAAACAGAGTCTGTCCTTGAGGATCTAATCAGTTAAATCATACTGGAGTAGGTTGGGTCCTAATCCTGACCCCTTCTGAGTGCTGTCTTATGAAAGCGGAGAACAGACATGAAGAGAGAGTCACACACAAGGGAAAGACACCATGTGAAGATCTCTCTACAAGCCAAGGAATGCCTGGGGCTACCAAAAGCTAAAAGAGACAAGGAAGAATCTTCCCTCAGGGGCCTGAGCCAACAGCCTAAATTCAAACATCCAGTCGCCAAAACAGTGAGAAAGTAAATTTCTGTTCACATACCTTGTGGATATTTTGTTATGGCCACCCTAGGGAACTAAGACAGCTCCTCTGCAAACCCTCCATGGATCCAGAAGTTATCACTGCCTTCAGTGTACTCCCAAAGCACTTTATTTGTTCAACGTATCTCTTATAACGCCCACAGCCTTAGAATATGAGAAAGGATTTGAACGTCTAGCCCCTCCGTTCAGTATGAGCCATATGAGATCAGGAGCTGTGTATTACTCATACCTCAGCCCCCAACCTTTGGGCCTCAGATGTAACAGGTATTCAGTAAATGCCTGTTGAGTTTAACTGAACTGATTTGAATCAAGGAAACTTCAACACAATAGGAAGAGACCCCAAAACAGTGTCCATTGTTCCCTGAAATTTGTTCATGCCAGAACTTGATCAATCTAAGTCCTATAAGATTCAGAACGTTTTCAGGTAAAATGTGATACTGCAACAGATGTTTCGACGCATGGGTTATTACTTTTTGTTTCTCAAAATTCAGGTTGTCGCGCACAAAGTCTCCAGAGACCAGCTCCCCCTCCAGGTGTGCCAGTTGGCCCTGAAGAGTCTCCAACTTCTTCTCCGTTTCCTGGGCCTTCTGCAGAGACTTCTGGTGCGACCCTGTCTCATCCGCCAACTGTTCCACAAGCTTAGATATTTGGGCTTCAAGCTGAGAGACCATCTGGAAACCAAGAGAAACACAACAAGGATAAGCCTTGTTTCAGATGAAACAAAGTGTTAAAATCTAGTGCTCAGCCTGGGCAGCACAACTATTTCTAACACCAACTTCTAGAGTCTTTGTAAAAAATAATAATAATAAATAATTGATAGTAGTATTTGCCTCAGTTTGAAAGAAACCTACGTTCATTTAATTAATTTTCATATAATTACTTAAACAGATCAATTGATAAATATTTATGGATAACATTTACTTAACTCCAAAACTGCCATTAATTTAGGAATTTCAAAGCTTAGAAGGAAATATAGTTTAGACAAAAGTACTTTTAAAAATCTACAAAAACATCATTTCCCCAAAGAAACTCTTTCACTACTTATATTTGATTAAAGATTATATAGTGAATTGATCTTGATTAATAACCTAAAAACCCTTACAGATAATTTTAGTGCAGAAATACATTTTTTCAAACTGTATTTTTTCAAATCTCTATGGGAGCTCTGGTAGCATAGTGCCTAAGGCACTTGACTGCTGACCAGAAGGCTGGAGGTTCAAACCCACCAGCCACTCCTCAGAAGGAAGATGGGACAACCTACTTCCATGGGTGATACTGCCTCGGAAACTCAAGTAAGGGTTGCTATGAGTGGGGTCTGACTTGACGGCACATAACATTGAGTATTGGGTAGTTAAGTACTAAAGTTATGGCAGTGTATACTACAATTCTCAAATTTCAAAGAAAGGTCAAAATCCCTTTAAGATGGCAACTCTAAATAGGGCATTGTACAAGATAGGAACCCTGATGATGCAGTGGTTAAGTGCTCAGATGCTAACTGAAAAGTCAATGGTTCAAACCTACTAGCGGCTCTGCAGTCGGCTCTGATTATACCTCCTTTTCCAGGCATAAAATAATCGCCCTCCAATAAGGGCCTGTACGATGCTTCATAGCCCTCTACCTGGTCCAGTGCTCCCACTTCTTCCCTGAAGCTTCTCTCTTTGTCTTGACCTTCTCCTTTAACCAAGATCAGCAAAAGTTTACCAAGGATACACATTTTGAGAGCACGCAAATCGTTTTCACTCAATTCAGCTTTCATATAAACGTTGAATTCAATACAATCACCAAGTTTGGGGTGATATATTTGTTTTGTTTTGATGATTTACTTTGGAAGGGGCCAGGATATCTCCATAACACTACAGTAGCATTTTCACAGAAATGGGAACTTCTCAACTCTTTCAGATTTACAGTCTATGTTTTTTCAAAATATATATAATTCCTTCTTGCTTATTTATAAACAACCAAGGTTAAAGGCAAGAAGACATTCTAAAACCAAACGTATTGCCATTGAGTCCACTCTGACTCATAGTGACTCTACAGGACAGAGTAGAACTGCCCCATCGAGTTTCCAAAACTATAAATCTTTACAGAAGTAGAGAGCCACGTCTTTCTCTCATGGAGCAGCTGGTGAGTTCCAACCACCCACCTTTCAGTTAGCAGTCAAGCGCTTAACCACTGCACCACCAGGGCTCCTGGAAGAACAATGAGATTTGAAAGTGAAACAAGACATTTGATGGTAAACTGCTTTAGAGACATATGCACAAGATTATGCTTCCCAAGAAAATTTTGAACATCATTATGAATATGAGGAGCTCTGGTGGCATAGTGCCTAAGTCATCTGACTGCCAGCCAGAAGGCTGGCAGTTCAAACCACCAGCAACTCCTCAGAAGGAAGGTTGGGCAATCTACTTCCCTAGAGATACTGCCTCGGAAAGGAGGAGTCATTGAGTCTGAAACGACTGGATGGTAGTGAGGGTTTTTTGCTTGTTTGTTTGTTTATGGATATGAGGCTTCCCCTGAGCATCACCTACCTGATCAAGGATGTGATCTTAATGCAAGAGAAATAGTGACTGTCCCTATACAGCCACAAGGGAACTGACAGAATGTGACCAAGAGACATTGTCCACAAATGCTGCCTTCTGGAGCCAGCTCTCATAGAATTATCCATGGGATAATGTGCATTTCTGCACAGTAAGAGAGCTGTTCTCCCAATGAACTCCAGTAGGAAGTAAGTCTTTCTACCTGAGGAGGCTTCAAGGATTCTCCTATCTCACAGTTGGCTGCCAAGGGAACTGAAGAGAAAAAAAGGCCCAGAAAGCCTCAGCTGGAGAGACAGAGAACTGTGTCACCACGTAGCCACAGTCATCACCCTGCAGACCTAACTGGGGAGAAAGCAAAGGCTTCCCATAGGGTCTACCAGTTAAGACTCCATTCTGAAGAGGACAACTTAAGCAACTGCAGTAATTTGGACTGAGGGAGTTATAATGATCCTTGTGAAGGTTAATTTTTTGTGTCCACTTGGCTGGGCTACAGTGACCAGTTCTTTGGAAAAATACTAGTCTAGATGTCACTATAAAGGTATTAACATGAAATTAACATTTACAATCAAACCAAAACCAAACTCACTGCTGTTGAGTTGTTTCCAACTCATAGCAACCCCTCCTTGGGTTTCCAAGGCAATATCTCTACAGAAGTAGATTGTCCAGTCTTCCTTCCAAGGAGTGGCTGGTGGGTTTAAACCACCAGGCTTCTGGTTAGCAGTCAAATGCCCTCATAATATATGTGGACTTCATCCAAATAATTAAAGACCTTAAGAGCAAAAAACAAGGTTCCCCAAGGGGAGAAGGATTCTACCTCAAGATTGTAACATAAAAATCCTGCCTGAAGGAGAGTATGGAGGGATGGACACTGGGAAGTGGTAACTATGGGGAGGAAGTGGGAGGGGAGCTGTTGCATTGTGCTAAACTGTGGTCAATGACATGAGACAAAGTGTATGTGAACTGCTGTATGGAAAGTGAATTTGCTCTGTAAATCTTCACCCACATCACAATAAA